TTTATTTTTTGCAAAGGGGGTTTTTTATTTTGCACATTGCTAAAATAGTTTTCATTGGTTTTTACTGCATTATTATTTGCCAATATTTTTCGCATTCACATATATTTTTTTTAGCTACAAATCATTCAAACATGCACTATATTTATATATATATATGCATATTCAGTTGCAAATTCTGACTTTGCTATTTTGATTTTTAATTGAATTTCCTGGCATAGTTGACCGGCCAGCCGTAGATTCAGTAAATGGCGAAGCAAACAAGCAGAAATCGAGTCCACTCGGCGTATACGTAATATCGGATTTCAAGTACTGTTATCGCCTGATTGGTTCTCTTCTTGTTTTTCCCCTGCAATGAATCGTGGATAATAATCAAATTCCATTCGTAGAACCTGCCTTTTAGGCCCAGCAACCTGCTAATTGATATGCATGTTTCGTTTTCCATGGGTTTCGCTGCAGATTCACCCATTATTTTTCACCGTCGGCCAGAAGCCCCGTTGGCATTTTTCCATTAATTGAAAATGCCAATGGCCGGGCCGCCGTGCAACAAAGCAGCATCAAATAGCCAGCCATATTGTGTTCCAAAATCTAGGACCCCTTCATATGGGCATTGTTATATTTTGTGAGCGCCCTGTGCGCATAAATTATGAAAAGGCCCCCGATTCAGGCATATTTTGATGACATGCATGGCATGTCCGTGTCAGGGGAACTATTTTCTATTTTCGGTTTCCTCTATTTCTTTTTTGAAAAGTCAAATATCCCGCATTATTTACCATGTACTCGTTGCTGTGGCAAACCAAACAAATGTCAAAGCAGTTCTTGTTTGCACTTTTAGTTTGTCAATGCGAATGGATTTGACATTTCTATTTGCTTGCGTTGTGCAAAGCAAACTGTAAGTTATTTTAGCACACTTATAGAGAGAAATTGTAAATAAAAACTAAGGTTGCCCTGGGGGTTTGCAGTTGTGATAAAATAATTTGAAATACTCCAATTTAATTACTTACAAAATCGTGAAACTAACTAGAAAAATTATATACATTCTAATACAAATTATAATTTAATAATGGCTCAAAAATTTGTGATCATATATTCTGTTGCAATTGTTTAAGAATTTTAAACTAATATTTTGAAGAGACTTGTTTTTCAACTAAGTTCTTGCTCAAGCTACTTTATTTGTTTGTAAAAATCCTTTTTCGATATTACACTCTTTAATTGAATATTATAACTAATTAAAAAGTGTACAAAATGAAAAAATATTCAGACCTTGTTGGTTGTTTGTATTCCATAATGGAAGCAGCTGAAAATTCGATATATTTTTTTGATTGAACGTATTTTTTGGGCAAGCAGAGAATTTCCAGGCTCCTGTATATTTTATAATGATTAAAATTTGTTGTCATAAAGCCGCTACCGCGAATCCCCCAAAAAAAATCCAATCGCCACACATTTTTGAGTCTTTTTATTTATTTTTACATTGAATATTTCATAACCGTAAGGCATCGGTTGGTGGGTTTGTTGATTTATGCGAGACTGTAAAATGTGTGGGAATAAGCTGAAATTTAAGCTTTCCGGATGCTTTAAAACTTATTAAAGGATGTGCAAAACTAACTCTTATCCTCTGGCCACTCAATGTAATTCTTAAACAATTTCTTCTGCTATTTTGCAGCTTCGTTCGCTTTAGCTAGGATAGCGAAAACTAATTTAGAAAATTGTTTTTAGCCTCTGTTGCTCGTCGCCTTCCCTTGGCTTTTGCTTTTGCTTTGCCCCGGGGCAAGTGAGAATTTCCTAGAGGGCCCGAATGAATCTAATAAAGAAATTACTCCAGACAGGATAGCCGCCAAGGACGTCGCCTACACTAAATAAAATCTCGGCATTTTTCCCCCACGATGTCGCCAATGGTTCGGCATCGTTGTAATGAGCTGAATATAAAGTGCGTGCCTCGAATCGGGGGAGTCCTAAATCGCTGTTTGCTCTTAGCCATAACATGAATAATTTAAAAACAAAGGCGAAACGATTTGCGACGTGCGCCCAATACACTTTGCCGATGTAATTGCAGATGTGTGAAAAGGATCGGGAGTCGGCGGGCGGCAAAAGGACATTCTGGCCGGGCTAATAGCCGCAAACAAAGGCAGCCGCCATTCAAGCATTCAATTCACCAATTTTCGCTTAATGCTTGACTATTCCTAAATGGCCAGAAGACAATGAGTTCGCTCCCCAGGGGAAAAGAACCAGGTAACTCAAGCACACGTGGCCGTGTTGTAGCCCCAATAAATAAGTCCTGATGGCAAAAATTGCCGATTCAACTTATTCGTATGCTCGAGATGGCAAAACAGTTGTCTGACTTATTCATGGGGGCTTCTGAAACCATTGTTTTTATTGGTTACCCATTAACGTTATGTTGTTTCGGGGCAACAGCTTTTCATATATGCTAGATGGGGGAGTGGAGTTCGTTCCTAGCCACTCGGAGAAAATAAACATTCTTTTCTAGATATATTTAACAGGAATCAAGTAAAATCTCTTTACAAAACAAACTTAGAGACACATTTTAAGGATTGCTATGCTATTAAAAAACTTTTCTGAGTTTGTTCAAAAGTTAGTAGCTAAAATTATAATTATAATTTATTTTGATTTAATACATATGTACAAACTGCATTGAATGCTAAATTCAAGATACTTGGTCACCAGAATTAAATCTTGAAGTGAAAATATTTTAAAATTTAATTATCTTAAAAGTGCATGCTTTGAATGACTGAAAGTAAAGCTATTTGAAGGTAAAAACTTCCGAGATGATGGCCACTTTGGATGATTCTTCCAGGCACAGATAACATTCAGACGGGAAGCCCTTTTGTTTCCGCATCCGAAACGATCTGGGTGGCACCGTTTATGCCCACAATTAGCTGCACCCAGCTGCAGTTACACACCCACTTAAGCCAGTTGTGTGCAAAAGCGTTAGATGATGGTAGAGGAAAGTAGACCAAGTACACTCCGGTTTGTTCGAAGCCCGCTTTTGTTTGTGTCGCCAGGACTTTAATTGCGAAAACATTTTCAAAAGTTTTTCATAAATTTCTCGCACTTAACCGAAAGTACATAACGCAAACAAAAGTAAAGTAAAAGTGTGTGCTACTTATACAGCTTATTCTGTGTGTGCTGCTGCAGTGGCAGTTGCAGCATCAAACTTCGCTGCAATGGCAGCAATGCACATCAATAAAACGAAAATTGCTGCAGAATGGTGCACAATTGTCCTGGGAACTGAAAGGCGTTGGAATCTCTATATGTATGTTTGTGTGTGTGGGTGGCTGAGGGGCGTGGCAGGTTGGTGCAATTGTTGTTGCTCTTGCTGCTGCTGCAGTGAAAACAATCGAAATTATAGCAAACAAGCGCGTAAACTTTTCGCTTTCATGGTCGGATATATCTATGTATATATGAATGTGTGATTGTGTGTGCGGCTGATCAGAGTATGTGTGTGTGTGTGTTGTGTGCGTACTTGTGTGTGTGTGGCCTGCAGTTTTATTGCTGTTCTGTTGCGGCTGCGGCTGAAGGCAGACATTAAAATGCCTGACAAAAAGCGCCGCCAACTGGCAACCTAATGCCAATGCACACACGCACACACTCGCATCTGTAATCGCGGTTGCTTTTTAGGTCTGTGTGCGTGTGCCAGTGATGCCTAATTCATAATTTTATATATTTAATTGTTTTAATACATATTTATATATTATTGGTTTTATAAATGCAAAAATTGACTTCAATTAGGAAAAGTATTAATTAATTTTTATTTAAATGAACAAAATTCAAGAAAATCAAATGGGATTAAATCAATTTAGGGATTTCTGTGGCTGCCTCATTAAGGAAATAAGGAATTACAATATTAAAATATAAATTTTAAAAATTGTATTAAAGGATGGTATAATTAATTTTCAAATTAAAACTGATTTTAAATTGTGAAAAGCTTCATTCATTTAATACAATGTTTAAGGTAATCCAAAACAAAAGGCAGATTTTTTAAAAATATATACTCCGCAGTCATCACTAGTTTGTGCTCTAGCTCTTTATGTTGAAGCGGTTTTTCCAACGGTTTTTTGTTTCAGCTCTTGATGACGAGCGAACTGCGCTCATTTGCGTGAACATTTTCGAAGCACACTTTTTGGGGCCGTGAAAAAATGTGTGTCAACAAAAGTTTGGTTTTCCAGCGAATTGTGTCCGCTCTCAATGCTCTCCAGTGGCATTGTTGCCACTATTGCTACTGTTCTGTGACCGAATCTAATGGCACTGGAGGGAAAGGCGGAAAAGTCGGACAGACAAAACCTGCCTGCAATTAGAGACTCCAGAGGAAGTTGGGAACGAAAACGAGTATATGTGAGAGCAACCCTTTTTGACAGTGGCGGGGAACTAGTTATGCTGCCATAATTAAATGTAAATTATCGCCATGTGCACAAAACTGTTGCCTGTTTACTTATTTATTTGCCAGTTAATTAGTTCGAAATGTGTCCCAAAATCTGGTGACTTTTCCTGTTCTGTTGGCATTACAAACCACGTACAAGAAATGTAATTATTGTCATTACATCAACAATGCAGACAGACACACACACACAACACACTCTCAATAAAAATGTATACCCAAGCAAAAGAAAACAATGCCAAAAAAAACATGGTGTTGGCATTTCCAATAGAAAGTCAGAGTGCGAGGCTTTTGTTTATTTTTGACATTGACGTCCCTCATTAATGTAAACGACGTCGAAGGGCACAAAAAGGCGACCTTCTGTAATTATAATTAATACGAAAAGAACATGAGCTCTCTGTCCGTTGACCCGAAACCAATACAGGAAACGAAAGAAAGTCATGGGGCAAGGGTGGGTTAAGTAACTCCGACAGGACCTCTCACAAATTGCGTCTTTCGCGGCATTAAAAATTCCATTAGCTGCAAACTGTCCGCGTTAATTAGTCCCGCAAACAACTGATAGAAACTTTGATCGCATCCCCTTGAATAAATATATTTCTCCAGGACTTACCAAAGACTCGTCCTGCCCGCGAAGCAGGCAAGGTGGCCAAAATCAGGAGCAGCACAAAGCCAGGAATGATGAGCCCTCGATGATTTCCGTATTCGGCCGATATGCGCAGCGTCATTTTGTTTGATGAGATTAAGAGTGGTTTTTTACTTGGGGTTTTTTTTACTCTCTCTTTAATCTAAAGCAATTTTAGCGGTGGTTTGCGTTACGTTTTTTGTTGGATTTGGTTAGATTTGGTTTCACTTTTGCCCTTGGGCCTTTCAAAATCAATTTACATTTATTTTTTTTGTTTGTTTCTAGTGCCAATTAAACTGTGTTTGTGCTATGAACTGCTGCGTTTAGAGTTCGGTTTAGTTTTTTGTTTGCACCGATTTTAGCTTTAGGTGATCATTTTGAACGAGCTGCAAAGAGGAAAGCGAAAAAATGAAAATTAAATTCTGAATAAATATGATAACAATTAAATTTGATTGCGATTGATTTCAGCATTCAATTTAATTAATCAATTTAATTAAAACTTTCATATTTGGAAGTAGTGATTTGTTAAGTTTCTAACAGGTTTCTCAAATATGACCTAATGGTAGAGGACTTTAAAAATATGAATCTTTATATAATATATTGCTTGTTATTCAATTCTAAACAGTATATAGGTTGGGTAACCGACTATTCATTTGGCGACGATTTCATATCGCTTTTTATCAGATTGTGTACACATGCCCAGACTTTTTTCATTTTTCAATTTAAGGGACTTTTACGGTCTCCTAAAATCCCCCTAGACACTATCCCTTTCGTTTTAGTTTTTGCGGCGGCGAAATTAACTAAAGATGTCAGTCCTGAACAGCGGGAAGCATAAACCCCTCGTGTGTGTGTTTGAGTGTGTGTGTGTGGGCCAAAGTTTATATGCTGAAAATGAATTTGGCATTTTTACAACAAGCGAGAACAGCGGCGCTCTCGGAAGTCTGACAGCATAAAATGGAGTGAAATCTCTGCTGGTGGTGTGTGCAGTCAACTAATGTGGCCAAAAAGGCGGATGGTGGTGCAGTGGGTGGTGCATGGGGTGGTGGTGGTGCAAGTGAACTGGGTGGGTTGTAAAAACGGGCTTCATAGTAAAAGTGAAATGCGCCGGAGGCGGACTGCACATTTAATGCGGCAACAGTTACAACATGTGGCAGCAAATGGCGATTGCTGTTGGCCCAAACAACTTGGCTTTTGACTATAAAAATGGCGAAAGAGAGTTGGCCTTAAAGCTGCCACGCCCCCTTTTCAACTTTGGCAGCAGCGCGTGTGGCAGCAGCAACAACACCAAAAACAACAACAACGACGATCACTGACAACAACGCTGTGCAACCCGCCGCACATTGCACATGACGTAAATGTTGTGGTTGCTTTTAAAAACTTTGTTTTAATGTGTTTGCTGCAGGCTGCAAGTTTATTTTTTTTTGCTAGCCCCCCAGTGACCCCCTTGTGTTGACGTTAAAATTTAAAGTTCAAATTTGTAACTTTCACGGGAAGTTTCAATGAAAACAGAGCGATGTGCGGATGGCAAATCGCTTTGAACCTCCGACGAGTGTACTTATTTTTCTCCACAGATTGTTGTATGTTTCTGCTTTAACACAACCACTTTTTAATTTTTTAATGGCATACCTTCATTTTTTCGATATTATATTCATTTTTTTCGTACAATATTCACCAACATATTCATAAAATAAACCAAAGGAGTACTGGCAAAATATTATATCCGCCGCAGCTGATAATTGAAGTTCTTTTCCATATTACACACCCTTGGTTTTCCCGTGAGCAAAAACACGTTGAGTTTTTCACAATCGCCACAATGTGTGTGTGGATGAATACTCGTACATAAAAACTCAGTCTGTGTAAATAAGTTTTTCATGCAAGCGATGCTGTTGTTATTTGGTTTTGGTCGTGGCCAGGAAACAAAATTAACGTAAGTTTGTTTGAGTTCTCTTGAAAAAAAAAACATTAAAACGTTAATTTTTTATACTATGCTTAAGATTCACCCATTTCAACAAAAACTAAGGATTTAATTATGTCCTTCAATCGTAAAAATTAAATTTTAAGGCGAAACTTTTCTACAATGAATGGCAAACATAGCGTTTCTACATATATTTAGTTGCAAAAACATTTTTGTCCCTTTTTAGAGTTTAATAATAATTATGATAATGCAAACCCATTTTATGTTGATATATGTTGATGGTTTATATGTCCAAGTTTGGATAATAAAAAGCTTATTATTTATAAAACAATTCCAAGGTAAACAAAATATGTCACTAAATTTAGTTCTGACGAACGAATAGTCCACTGTTTAATTGGAACTGTATTGCTGTTGTTGATACACCATTAATCGCTGTTATTATTTCCCAGAGTAAACGAGGCTTGTGTAATTCCACGAAATAGTGGACGCCTAATAAAGACATGGGCCCGAGAAGCCCATTAAAAGTGGCGGCTAGGCGACCTCAAATAGTCAACGCCTTACGCTAAGCACCTTAACGACAAGTGCCCCCTGGAAAAACATTTTCATCTCCGGTGGCAGTCCGTCAGTGGTCGTCACTCAACAAGTTACACCCGCCCAAGCCACAAGGAAAGTGGAAAACTGAGACCTTCCACCCAAATCCACCTCGTAATGACCGGTAGTGGATTGCAGAGTGGCGCAATGCGCTGTGCCAGAGGCAATTAAAGTGCCTTGGCACTAGTAGTTGTAGTTGGACAACCTTTTTCAATTTTCCACGTAATTCTGAACGCGTTGCAACCGCTCGTTCTTCTATTCTTGGCCATTAGTCCCCTTTGGGTCCGCAGACAGTTCCGAGCCGCTTTCATGCCCGAATGCCCCAAACAGCGAGCGGAAAACAGTGAGGAGCGTTAAGTAGCTGGATGTCAGTAGCCGATTTGCAGTTATGACAACACCACTTCCAAGTGCAGTGGCTCCCATTTGGGGGCAAACTTTAAATTAAACAGTAGCAAAAGGTAGGAGTGGTAAAGCCAGCCAAAAGCAGCGGGAGATGTGAGTTGCAGCACAGAGAGAAAATTAACTAAAACACTGGGCAATAATTCGGTGTTTTGTAAATATTAGGTAAAAATGAATTTCCAGTTTTCCATTTGTTAAATGGGATCTTTCATATACAAATTGATTTTTGTGTAAGCCTTCACATCAAATAATTTTGCACTTGGCTTTTGCAATAATGTGCTTACATTAAGAAAAAAATTTTATACAATCAAAACATTTATAAAAAAAAATTAATATAAATTTCCCAATTAGTTGATTGAATATTAAATAAAACAATTAAATTAATTAGTGTGTAACCGATATTATTTTGTTTTTATATACCAGTTTAATTTTTGAGCTTTGTATAAATTGACTGAATATGTTGAATGAATATTATTACATTTTAATGAACAAACTTAAATTTTTTAATCACCATATGAATTTATTCTATCAAATCTTTTCTTCTATATTTTAACAATTTCAAAGCAACGGAATACTTTTAGAGCACTTATCACATAAATATTCATTGTCAGCTACATATGTATAAAAAACAACGATATAAGTAATTATTTCAAACAATGTGGCTCACTTTTTTCTATGTGCAGGAACAAAAACAAAAACAGGGCGGCAGCGAAGAGCGAAAAAATATGGCACTGCATTTGCCATGAGGTACGAGGCAGGCAACAAGCAGCCCGGGAATGGAGTAGAATCATACAAAATATGCAAAGGACAGCAGCAACAGAAGTTGTAATTTACAGCTTATTTACGTTGGAATAAAAAATGAATTAAGACAACGAACCAGCAGCACGACAGCAGCTTCCTCACAGGCCAACTCGCAAAAGGTAAATGCATAAATAAATCAGGCAAAGTCCAACAGAAAAAAGTGAAAGAGTGGAGCACAAGTTGGAGCAGATAAATGCAGGAATATAATTAAATGCTTTGACATGATAGAAAAGCAGTCAGCTAAATGGAGATGCTGCAACTTGGTTAATTAGCACTGCCAGAGGTGTTGCAAATGTCCTTTCCTGACGTCATTTAATATGGATTGAGCAGCTTTAATTTTAAATAAGTGGACCAAACAAAGAATGCGAGCACAAAAAACACGTGTCAAGAGGGTGCAATTCCAGGAGGACTTGTCTCTATACTTGTACCGCTGTCGCCACTTGCTGGCGCATATAGATGGAGATTATAATGCCAGACGCTTCACAATGGGTGTGCGAAAAATAGAGATAAAAATAGAAATAACAACTGCAGCAGCTTAAGTGCAACTGCAGTGGCTGTGTGGCTCTAGTGCTGCTGCCACAAAAAGGGGAGGGCGGTGAAACCGTTCACATTCACCCACCCAACAAGAAGTTGCCTTTGTTGCAAGTGCAACTGCAATTGTTGCCGCCCTGAAAGCGCAACAATGAAGTTATTACACGAAACGAAACTCTTCTGCGGAATTCCAAATCACTTGCCAGCCACATACGCCTAATCATCGTGTAAGCCTTACTTGAATCTAAAAGGGACACTCCACTAATTCGGTTTAGATTCCGGCTGCAGCCAGAATTTATTTTATTATTTGCTGATGTTTGCAATTTGGGCACGTGCCGCAAATTGTAAAATAGTTGAACGTGTGCCACACTCGAGCCAAAAATCCTTCACCTCCCAAAGGTTAAGCACACAAACACTCTCGTTTCTGGGGTCCAAGAACCATTTTTGCGCTTCGCTGCCTTTGTTGACAAACATTTTTTGAGTGGGGCCAAGCATAATGCGAAAGTGTAGTAATGGCATCAAGAGCTACTGCCGAAATCAGCGCAAATTTAGTGGCAAGGCAAATAAATTTATTTTAGTTTTTCCCGGCCATTGTTGTTCATTTTATATTTTCTTTATTCGCCGACGAAATGTCTCAAGTCGCTGGCTGGCTTTTATTGCCCCAACAAATGGCAGCAATGGAATTAAGAAAAATGGCGCAAAAAGGGTTCCCAGCTTGGTGTTTGTTCAATGGCACATACAGTCGATCGGGCGGCCCTTTGTTTGGACCCCCTCCCCCCGAAAAATACCGAAATACCCAACTTCCCCTTAACAATAATGTCCGCTATTAGCGGCAGGGCATGACCAAATCTTGGGTCAGCAGTTTAAAATAAAACTTTGTTCGAAAGGGTCTTTATTTTCCCTCGAAATGCCAAACCAATTTCTGGGCCAGCAAACCGACTAACCAACCGCCCACGACACTCACTAATTAAACTAATTAACTGAGATGGCCGAGGGATAAGTTGGCCGAAATGTCTTGGCCAACTCGCTCCAAGAGGCAAATTGAAAGGGAAAACGCTCCGCAAAGTGGGTCAACATAAATTCAAAACCCCCGCTCTGCCCCAAAAAATGCAAAATATGCTGCAGTACGAGCTTGGAATTTTATTTTCTAGCTGCCTCGATTATAAACCGTTTAGTTATGCTTTCGGGTCAAACAGAAACAAATCTAGGAATAACCACCTTTTGCTGTGTTCTGTTTTCTGCAGCACAAGACCTTCAATCAGTTACTGGTTATTCCTCGAGATCGTCGTTAGTTTGGATCTTGGTACCGGCCAAGTACACGAACACAAATAAAAACTGAACACGGAACTTGACACCGACTGCCTCATTTTACTTTGATTTTATCTCTTTTATCTTTGGTAAATATGCATGATTATTCTGGCATTCACTGTAGATATATTTGCCTGGCTTAAAGCACTTTTCTGGCCTTTTGGCCTCTTTGGCTGAGACGTTCAGCGTCAGGATAAACGCGCACACACGCGACGCGAACGCACGAAGTCCGGCAGCGCCAGCGGACACATCCTTACGAGCGCACAACAAACACGAAACTGAGCCGCTTCGTTTTTGCGCAAATAAATTCCCAGCTGAAAGTCAGAAGCCGCCGTCGCACCACCACCCAAAAAACCCCCTGAAAGGTCGGCGGTTCGTGGCCGGCTTCGTGTTTCTGGCGACTTTCACCACACACGGCTATCTCCCGAAGTTCCGAACGTCTGTTGCCTAGATTTGTGCGCGGGTGGACGCTTCGGCTTTCGTCCTGCCGAGAGCGAAAGGACTCTCTCAGAGAGTGAGAAAGAGCGGCAGAGAGTTCGGGCGCCTGTTCCACTTTCAACTCCGAAACTCACCACGAAGTAACTCCGAATACCGGTGGCCTTATCACTGATAAGAGAAGCGCTCTTCGGCGGACACGACCTGCACAAATCGCTCAGGTGGCGAGCGTTTCGGTACGAACTGAATTGGACCGACAAGTTCTCAAAGAATTGATGGGGCAGTACCAGAATGTCCTGGCTGGGCAGTAGTGAGCTTAGGCAGGGATTATATCCTTATTTAATGAATATAATTGATAACTTAATTTAACATAATTTCAATTATAGATATTTACTTAGTAATTATTTTAGTTTACTTATATTATAGCCAAAGTGTTTGGAACGTTATGTAGATACTTCTTTGCATACACAATTTTCATTTTGGATTATTCAAGCAAATATTAAGCAAAGTGTCTTGACATGTTCATTCAATTAAACTCAAAATAATAAAATAAAATATCAATCGTCAGAAAAAGATTGTACCAAACTGCAAGCTTTAACTTTTAGCTGCTTCTTTTAACACATAAAATTCTCTAACATTTGGCTAAGCTAGGATACATTCAAAATTGTGTTAACGCTCTGAGCCCAAAACGCATAAAACCTTATTAATATTTGCCTATAACAGGGTAAAGCGAACACCCCTTAAAGTTCTAACAGCAGTAATATCGAACTCTGGTTTTGGCCTAACAGTTTCGTTTAACATCATTTTACAGACTATTAAGCCATAGCTATGGCTATGCATAGGAGAGTTTTTGTGAAATCGCATTCGATTTTTTGCTGTATATCTTGGCTTCTGTTAAAATCTACCACGGCCGAAAACTACCCCCAATAACATAAGCTTCCCCTTTTGCCCTTAGCGAATGTTTTGTTTTGTGACCTGTTAAAAATTCGAGTCGAGTCCTGGTCTTTCTGATGACTTCGACTGTTAAGGAAACAGAGGATTATTCTAAATGTATGTTGTTCACGCAGGGGTGGAAAATTTCGTTGGCTGTTATCGTCTTCTGTATTATCTTCGAATTTTTTAACACACTTGGCCTGATTCTCACAGCCTGTTAGACTGATAACTTCTGTTGGTAGGTTTACATTTCAGTTTCTGTACTGACAGATTGAAATGTATTTTTATGTTCTCAGTGAAGTGGCAACAGCATAAAATATGTGGAATACTATTGAAATTCCTGATTTCTTATAAAGTGTTGTTTTATTTAAATATTACATTTAATACGAGCATTTCTTGTTTTGTGTACAAACCAGAAGTTTTTTTTGGTCATGTTGTGTGTTTTTTAACATTCCGGCTCCTTTCTTGTACATTTCCGAATTGGGTTATAAAAATGTTCAACTAGCATTTTCTGAAACCTCCTCATTTCAGACTCTGTAATGTATACACCAGCATTTCTTGGCTCAAAATTCAGAATGTTAACGTGTGAGAAGTAAATAACATTTCTGGACTTATGCTCCAATGGAGAATTTGCTTCATTCTATGTTATGTTTTTCTCCTACATTTCCACATCGGCTCCATCACAGTACGTTATGAAGGGTAACAGAATCTGTAATATACAAATGTCAATGTAATGCCAACCAAATATATGGTTTACTAAATCGTCAAGAAATTATTATTTTTTCATTCACCGCTTACCTATACGGATTTTTTGTAAAAATACATTTAATTGTCCCGATAATTGCATTATTATTTTTTAAATTTGTTTTCAAATAATTTTCTAGAATACTTTTTAGAGCTCAATTTGGATATGTACACTTTCAATTGTCGATGCTAGATTAAATGACAACATATGTGAATTCCAAACGGACAGCAATTTAACATTACAGAAGCCGGCATCTGGCAATGTTACTCCTACAGCATTTTACATTCTGTACGAGCACTTTAAAGACTTAAAAGTCGGCATGTTAATGTTTACAGAATAAATAGCATTTATTGACGTGTCTTCAAAGGAGAACTTGTTTTGGTCTATGTTATGTTATCTACATTACAGAAAACTCCTGCTGCTATCTTTTATATTTTCGAATGGTCTTTTAAAATTGTTCGAATAGCATTTTCTGAAATCGCCACATTTCAGTAAAATTGTTTTAAGGAGAAATTGCTTTGTATACTAAATAACAGAAAACTTCTGCTGTTTTTCTTAACATTTCCGAATCGACTTGTTAAAATGTTCACATTACATTTTCTCACATCGTTAGTTAAATATTGAAGACAACATAATCTGTAATTGACTCCTAACAGATAAGGTAATAAATCTTAACCTTTATTTTATTGTTATCTTTTTTTATCGTTCTTAACTTATCTTCAACAAGAAATTATACAAATTTTCATTATCGTATTATTTACTTTTTTAGTGCTTACTTATATTTAAATCTTATCTTTGCTTTCATTAAAAAAAAATTGAAAATTGAATATCAAATCTCGTAGAAACTTCTGTCATATCTCACGGTACTGCCAATCGAACTCAATAATTTGTTGTGCTGATCAGCCGGAAACTTCCGCAATTATGCTAGTGCCCCTGGCACCTGCCCCTAAACGGTGGCCACGCCCCTCGAGCCGGTCGATTGCCCACAATTTAATAGCTATGACGATGGTATAGGTACTTAGCCCCACCAGCAACATCCTGATGCAACTGAAGTTCCGAAAACAGAGCGAAAACCCACCCTCAGGAAGTCAGCAGTGCAATCGTGTTCGCAATCCTGTAATCGCAGGCTCTTCATGTTGCTGCCGTTGTCAACGCCTCTCAAAAGGAGCAAAAAGGACATTTAGGATCAACCCCTAAAGGAAACCAGCGACGATTTATAACAAATTTTAAATTGCAAAAAATTGCAACAGTGATAAGGGGTCGGGATCTGGCGTTGGGCGAAACCGAAACTAATTGGCAACAAGGGCAATAAAAATTATGAACAATAGCGGAAATTAGGCATGGCAGCAGAAAAAGCAAGGGGAAGGCAAAGTCATTCGCTTTGCGGTTTTTCGCCAACTGACAGCGCATCGAAATGCCAACCAATGCGTGACGAATGCAAACTGCATTTATCGAATGGAAAATGTACACGGAAACAGACAATCCTATATTTAATACATTTAACTAAATTTTGCAATACATACATTTAAATAAATATATTGATGTAATTCTAAATAAAATCTTAGATAAATTTATAAAAAGGAAATATTCCCAGGGAATTATGAAAATATGAAGAGTTTTATATATTTCTTGTTCTTCAACCATTTTAAATACAACATCAAAATAAGTTCATAATAATAATGTTTACAAACAAATATAAGATTTGTTATTAAATTAATGTTAGCCCCAAAAGCTTTTCATTTATTACCAATAAATACATTTAATTTTTGTATCCTATTTTTATTCTCAGATAATTTCCAAATATAAACAAAAGATTCATATTCAGGTTTTTTTCTATTTATTTTCCTCTGTGTTCTTAAGGAGTAGCTAGTACAATTGCAGATGACATTGGGGATAACACTTTCACTGGGGGCCCGGAAGTTCAGGGGGCGAAGTTCACGGCACCCCGACAAGCACAAACTTTAATTAGCAACTTTTTCGATTTTTCCCCATTTGAAACCCAGACATTTTCCATGTCCTCGGTCGCGTTTGAGTGGCTGCTGCAGCTCCTTTTTTCCCCGGGCCATGTTCGTGGAAAAGTTATACCCTCTCTATAAATATAGCCATCTAGCCATGGATGTGTGTGTGTGGAAAAGTTTCCTTCTCGGCTGGGATAAAGGATACTTCGAGGGCGAATGACACTTGACAGTGATTTATGGCCGGGGCCACTGATAACCCGCCAAAACCAAAACCAAATCCAAAGCTGAACGGCAAGTGCAAATCCAGGGCATAGGGTGCCCGATTGTCTCACCAGACTCACCCCCTTGAATTCCAATTTATCTATATATACATATTATATATTTAGATATATTTCCATGCCGCAAATGCTGCAATTTCGAGCCAAAACGCTCGCATGTGCAATCATTTTTTATCGCAAATCTCCCTATCTCCACATCAGAACTCTAAGCGGCTGTTGCGAATCGCTGTCATGTGGTGAGGTCCTGCCCCGCCCCTCGTCCGCTTACCGCTCGCCGCTTACCGCCTTCCGCCCCTTTCGACTGCCCAGCGGGGTGTTAAATTGCCGGAGCTGCTGCCTCAATTTCAGCGTCATTCAACGCCATTAACCTTCTGTCAATTTCAATAAGTCAGAGTCGCAAAAAGAAAACCAGCCTGCCATTCATCGAAATATGCTGCAATTGCAGGGCAGTATCAGAGTCCAGATCTAATACAATATTGATAAGCAGGAATGCATGAGACCAAATAAGAGAGAGCCTGTCACGTTGGACATGTATGCCCTAAATTACACTCGCATCGAGACTGGCCGAAACCACAAGGGAGGCTCGAATAGAAATGGACATTGTTAATACTAAAAAATTTAAAATCGAAATTCTGCACTTGATGGGCTGTTGAAATTCGAGACAAGTGAAGCGTAGGATTTCTATTTTCAAACGAAGATAATAGGTATTTTCGGGCATCCAACAGTGGTTTAATTTATAGCTGGAAGGAATATCTATCTTTCGTATCTCTCTCAATTTTACATGGTTTTCATATTTTGTTTCATTAAGAAAGATTTACTTACCTTCAAGGCTGAATAAGCAATACGGAAACATTTTATTCCTTTATTGCATCATTTGGTGATAAATTGGATCTATAAGAAAATACATTTT